ACTGCTCTACCACTGAGCTAAATCCCCAAACCCACATCTACTAATTATTAAGGAGCAAATTTTTATGCTTTGAAGAATTATTATTAAAAAAATTTTTTTTTAATTTAATAACCACATGATTAGAAGAAGCATTTCATTACAGCTTTAACATATTCAGTAACACACTGCAGAGCAAGGATACATCTCTTTCAAAAGTGGCCCTTTACTTCCCTGGGCTGCACAGCTTCTGGGCGGCCAGGTGCCACCACCTTTCCTGGTTCCCAGGAGCCCTCTGGACCAGGTCCCGCCCTCATATCCTTTTGCTTCCTGGGCTTCACAGCCTCCAGTGTCCTGGTACCAGCGCCTTCCCTGAGTAAGTCCTGCGTGCCCAGTACGCTGTGACTCCCCCAGCCTCTTTCACCCTCCCAGCTCCCCGGCGGAGTCTCTCCTCCTAGTCTGGGTACAGGCTCATTTCTTGTCTTGGCACCCCAGACACCCAGGCTAACCTCTCGGCCCAGAGCCACCACTGCTTCCTGATCCTTTGCATCGGGACCAACCCAGTTCCTCCCTGTGAGCCCCCAGAAACCCTCTAGGCCTGATCCCGGCCTCACCTCCCTTTACTTCCCTGGGCTGCATAGCCTCCCGAGTCCTGGTACCAGCACTGGGTAAGTCCAGGGCACCCAGCGGTCCTTGACTCCCCCAGCCTCTTTCACCCTCCCAGCTCCCCCACTGAGTCTCTCCACCTAGGCTGGGTACAGGCCCATTTCTTGTCTTGGCACCCCAGATACCCGGGCTAATTAATCTCTTGACCCAGAGCCGCCACTGCTTCCTGATCCTTTGCATCGGGACCAACCCAGTTCTTCCCTGCGAGCCCCCAGGAACCCTCTAGGCCTGGTCCCGCCCTCACCTCCCTTTATTTCCCTGGGTGGCATAGCCACCAGTTTCCTGAGACCAGCATCTATCCTGGGCCCTTCTCCCAGGCCAGCCCAGACCCCAAATTCTTGAGGGCAGCATTTTTCCTGGAGGGACCCATACCTTAGGAGAAAGCCTGATATCATCTGAGCCTCATCTCACTTGGGCCTCTGTGGGAACTCCTGAAGACAAAAGCAATTAGGCCACTCCAATATAAAATCAAAAGAAGAGAACCTGAAGCCTAGACCAACCAGCTGTTCATGCCCAACAAGTAAACCACAAAGGCACATAAAGTTTACAAAAGAAGCAGATCTAAACTCAACAAAGGAAGGCTTGAGTCTCACACAAGAATCAGAAACTATGAAGCAATTCACATGTCAAAGTAACAAAGAAAAAATAATAACATGAAAAACGAAAATAATATATCCCTACCAAGTACCAATAGTCCTCTAGAGGAGTACAATGAGAACTCCCTAGAGATAACACAGGACATGGAACTCAAAAGAACAATTATAAACATGATAAAAGAATTCAGTGAATTTAAAGAACACACAAACAAAGAAATCAAAGAACTGAAGGAAGATAGGGATAAACTGAATGGATTCAGAAAAGAGTTAGAAATGAAGAAGGACATGAAACACTCAGCAAGCCAATTAGAAATGACAGGAGAAAGCCTCACCAATAGGATGAATGAAATGGAAAACAATATCAAGACTAGAAGATAAAGTGGACAAATTAGACCACTCAAGCAAAGATTACGAAAAAATTTTAAAAAACACAAGAATGGAATATGCAAGAATTGTGTGACACCATAAAAAAAAAACCAAACTTACAAATCATAGGTATACAGGAAGGGGAAGAATATCAAGATAATAGTATGGAACAGATCTTCAACAGGATTGTAGAAGAAAATTTCCCAAAATTAAAGGAAGACATGCCCATACAAATATAAGAAGCATATAG